CTTGAATTTCAAAATCTCAACCTATTTTACTTTAGCATTGTAGTTAAATGCCAAGAATAGATCAACTTATCCTAAAGTTTTCATCGTCAAAAATTTTTTTTAATTGTAAAGAAAACAGAACCTTTCGATAACGAATGGTTTCTGCATTATCATCAATATCAGCACCCTGCTGAAAGCTTTTGATAAGACCTGTGTTTGTTGCGTTCGTTGATAAGGAAATTTCAACATCATGATTCCCCAGAGCATCCGAAGTAAATGCTTCAGATTGTGGATGACACATGTTTTCTAGGGGTACAATCGTTGCAGGAGTATTTGCAAAAGAATCTTCTGAAGGCTGTACTGATGAAAATGGAATGCAAGGTGAACAAATTTCTCGAGCATCCACACCCTGTTCGATATGTCCGGTCTATAATTAAACTAATAAAAAAATCTTAATGAATCTCACCATATGTGTCAACGACCGCCATCAAACACTTTAGAAATTTCTGAAGTACAGTATGTGGGATTTTCTAATCAATTGAAGTAAAGATTCTGGGAAACTAAAGCAGCCGTAAGGAACAAAAACTACCTCATCACTACGTTTCTGGATATCTTCACGTACAAAAATTTCTTCAATTACTTCACCACCTAAGGAATCATCTCTTGCTGTAACCAGAAGTGTTCTAGGAACTGATAAGTTATGAAATGACGGTTTATCCGACAAAGTTCGTGACTTCTGGAATTATTATATATTATTATTGATTTAGTTGTAACTACTTATTCCTAAAATCATGTTTATCTCTCCGTTAAAGAACTGAGCGCTATTCATATGTTGGATAGAACAAATCAAAATTTTAAAAAAGAAGTCAGGACAAACTACCAAATGAAACGGATGAAAAAATTTACACGTCTCCGAATAAAATCATTAATCTTCTGTGTTAAAGAGGATCGTCTTATGTGCTTCGAATCTGCTGTGCCAGTTATTGCTCGTCGTGATTCTTTACATGAAAAGTAAAGCAATTATCAATTCTTGAAAAATAGTGAGATTCAGAAAAGAATCCAGAAAAATCCTTCGCTGTAGATGCAATCGAAAATGTACGCTTTTCTTACAGTTCTAAATAAAGATTAAAAATTTTGGAAATTAAAAGCTCGCCTGCAGAAAAACCTATCACCATATTTGATACACGGTTATCTACTGAGCTAGGTTTTGATTCCGGAAGAATATCCGAATCACTTTTACCACATTCTAGCCATGCATCATCTTCATTCCAATGATCCACGGATGTACCCAACGAATCTAGAGAAAAAAATTCTAACATTTGTGATATAGTTTATCAACAATAATCTGGAAAATAAGCACTACCATTTGCTATTTTATTTTACAAAAGTCCTAAATAAATCATTACGGACCAAGCTTTTTTAAATTATTAAGTTCTCCAAAATAAAGTAATAAAAACAATCAATAAAATAGACGAGATGATAAATGGGAGTTTTTTAATCACCTTTATTTCAAGGATGTACCCAATAAATCTAGGGAAGAAAATTTGACAATTTGATATATATTGACACCTAATTTTAGGCTAGTTTTCTGAGAATATTTTCTCCTAAAAGGTAAGTAACAAAAATCCCGAAAGGATCGAAAGTTGAGGGGAATAGCAAAAAGTTGATGACCAAATTGTGCAGGATTGGTTAAAATAAGGCGGAAATACCGCTGAACTGCAATTTAATAAACTAACTGGATGATGACGAATCTGTTTGTGTTGGAAACAAGTCATTCAAATCTGGCAGCTGCGAAACATAGGACATTGTAGAACTTGATGTCTCAAGTGTGTGATTCGAGGAGATTAATTTACCAACTGAAAGATTGAAGTGTTTCAAATGAATAAATTCCGAAAAAAAAACTGATGAAGCCGAAAGAATAAAAAAAGAAGAAAAGTAGAAAATACGTTTTTTTTTTTTTTCCTTCGGACTCATTACGCAAGATATTAAGCAGAGAAGCGTAATACCTCGTAATAAAACAAAGATATTCTAAGCAAGAGGTAAAGGACCTTTAACGACTGTTGGCAAGACGGGTCGTACGAGTACCTGTCGACAATCAGCTAAAAAATCGTGCGCTTCACGATGATTCCAACGATTTCTATCTAATTCCTTCAAAATGAAATAGATTTGAAAGTGCCGTATGCTAATAATACAGTGGGCTAACATTAATCCATCTATAAATATAGTCAGTAGTGCTTATCGAAATTTTATTTGATCAGTGGGAACAAGTTTAAAATAAGAGCAGGAATAAAAGTATTTTACGTTGAATTGAAATTGAAGTTTGAAATCTGAAAACAGATAAAAATATAAATAAAAAAAGAAAAATGAGAAAAAATGTTAAACTGTTTCTTTAGCCAATACCACTATTACAAACGAGACTAATTCTCAAAAATATTCACCTGTTCAACTGTAACACTCAATATGTTCGGATGGAATTTCACAGCAGAAAACAATGCTTTAAGTACATGTACTGCTCGACCATCCGTAACATTTACATGGCTTCTGGAAAAAAAAATTTTGGTAGAAAGAATGTTCTGGATACTATACTTAGAACTGTATTCTATATATAAAAGTTAAAACTGCCATTTTTTTTTTTTTTTGTTTTTTTCTTGTTTCTTTTCTTTTTTCTCTTTCCTTGTTTTTTTTTTCTGCATTCCTAAGCCCTATGATCATCCACCCAGTATAAAAATTTAATCGCTGTCAATAACTGCCTTCGAAGAAAAACATGGCAAATCATTTTGATAAAGTAATTCAGATAATGCCTACCTTAAGTACTCTACCAAAGTCGCAGGATAAATCCCATACAAAACAATAAAATACTGGATTATTGCACTATACAGATGTGATACATATATTCCTTCAATGATATCTGATTTCTGCTGATCAAATAATTTCTTGAAGTTATAAAGCATATTGCAGGACATAATTAATAGTCGAAATAAGTTTAGCAATATCGATTTTTTAGGAGCAGCAAAATGTGGAAGTAAAGACGATACGATAAGGATCGCAGAAACGACCACAACAATGTTCTCAGATGGCTGCAAAAGTAATAAATAAATATAAATATATATTTTTCAAACAATTTCTCAAGTAATAAAGCGTATTACAGGATAAAATTTATATATATAATATTCAGAGCTGCTAGAGTTATAAATAATTTAGATTTGAAAGTCCTCTGCTCAAACCTAAGGTATCGAAATATAATCATAATTGTATTTAACCAATTGTATACTTCCTAACAGGTCTCGGGTATAGTGCTCACTTCTTTATCAAAAGAAAACAATAAAAAACCTGACCCGAATAAACTTCAAGATATGATCAAAAAGTGAATGCTCAGCAAGCTTTGGTAACCAACTTGGGGTCTTTTGTATTAACTGTCCAAGGAGTGTAAGCGTAGCTAGCGTATTTTTGGCCAAAAAATCCTGAATTCTATTGCACAATTCCTGTAATCCTAATATTACACAGGTTATAGTTTCAGCATACAAAAAAATGATTAAATTGTATGTCCGTTTAATTTCCTTATTTAATTATATTCACATTGAAAAAATTAAATTTACCGTATCATAAGGCTCCTTAACATTACAAAGCAGTTCCACCGCCAAGGACGACCGACTGTGAATATAGCAAGTTACTAACTGACCAATACCTTCTCCTGGAACAGAAATGACATTAGACTCTTTTTACATATAATCAATTTTGATACACATTGCGTTTAGTGTTCTACTCTTCTGCTCCGCGTATTTTTTGCACAGAAGTTATGGTATACTACGAAACAAAATAAACATTAATGGAAATAAAAGTCTATCAAAGTAATCCGATCTGATTAACTTTTTATAAAATCATCACAATTAACCATATTACTATTAAATCCATTGGCTTTATGCACTGATTAGTCATATCACCCTTCCATTCTGCAGTATTACTACTACTAAAGCTGATACACCAACTAAAACTATTCCTACGCGAATTACTTCGTACTCATTGTTAAATCCTCGTTCAATCAAGTTAACAAGAAGTAATACCTTGATTGATCAACCCTTGTAGTGCTTCCAGAGAATCTTCGGATACCTTTGAATCTAGCGATTCAGCATAACGAATTAGTTGCGTTATATTGTGCTCTTTTCGTTTCATACTGCACGTTAATGTTTTTATGAGTTTGGCATATTTGTCGCTTCCTCTAAGAGATAGCTACCCAAATAAAGTTATGTAAGATAGAACAGCTGAAAAGCTTCGCACAAAATCATAAAACCTTCCCTATGTCGCAACAAATAGAATGCAGCTTTTATTAACCACAACAAATTCCAATTTATGAATTAAAACTTTAAGATCATCTCAAAGGAAATACATTACGAACGCCGAATTAAGGAAATTGTATATCTTATTTGGTATGAAGAAGCTTCTATGGGTCATATCGCTTGAAACTGTGAGAGACCCAACAAGAGAATTGTGCTTAGTTAAAGTTTCAACCAGAAGTTAAGGTCATTTAAACTGAAACCAAGCCGCACAAAAATATTATTTATAAAAACAGTATATAACAACTCCCAGTCGTAATAATTGACGGGACATTTTAATTCCTCCCGAAGGAGCTCCGAAAACCGTTTCTTCTGTTCCTGTTCAAGACTTAAATATCAGGTCGAGCACCTTTTCATATTGACACACATACTACTTTTTAATTGTAGCATTTTATGCACTACAGATATACAAAACACATCTATATAGTACACAAAAAAGGATGAATGCATAAAATACATCACTGAAAGAAGGAATAAACAAAGTGAAATGAACGCAAGAAAAGTTAGTTTGGGAATAAACTACTTCGATTATAGCTGCCATTATAATTTGAATCAAGTTTTTAATATATAACACTCCCACAATGTGAATTCTGATCTAAACGAAAAGACTACATAATTTTTTGTTTCATATATAGCATATGCAGAAAAATTTGAAACTATGTAATGAAAAACATAAACTTCAAGACAAATTTAATAATTCGGTTGTACTAGAACAGTTTCCTGTACAAGAGACCCGGGTTTTCTTACTGTTGCAAGAGTATCAAAAGATCCTGTATTAGTGTTAGAAATAGTTGCTGGGATGAATTTCGACGAACAAGCGGTATCAGCAAAAATAGCTAAATCATTACGTGGACGACCCAGATCGAATAAGTATTTCAGATCAGCAATCGTTAATTTATTGAGTTTCTTTGAAGCAACTCTGAAATCGTTCAAAAAGATTTTTTGAGAATTTAAATGATCCAGTGTTTTTCTTTCTTTTTTTTTTTTTTTTTTTTTTTTTGAAAAGGTAAAAATATATATAACTAATAAATTTTAAAACAAAACAAACAACGACAATTTATTAACTTCGGTTAATGCAAAAAAAGAAAAAAACATTTACAACGCACTATGTCCAGATTTAAAAACATCATTCAGCCCTTCCAAAAGTGGAAAACTTTACATCATCTGAGAACAAGCAAAAAATAACTCTTCAACAACGGAAACGAAGATAACTGCAGAAAAAATATGGTGCATCAAAAATCCTGGATTTTTTAAGCTCAGTAGCACACTTCCCCAAGGAAAAAATCCAACTAAAAAAGTTTCCAAACAATGATCTCAACGAAGCCTCAGCTATCATCCAATATAAAACTTACCCATCTAGAACATCTTTTGCCAAAGTTTGCTTTATTCGCTGTAATGCCAAAACACGCTCTTCGATTGTTTCCAAACAAACCAACCTATAAGAAGTCTTTTTTAATACAATACTCCGAAGTTTGTATTAATTCCACAAGATCAATTATGAAAACTTTGACTTAAATTTTCAAAAATATAATTTAATAATCCATGAAAATACTCGATAGTCAATTACATGTGACTATTAATCTTATTCTACATATGAACTTCCTGAAAATAAATCCATAACATTTAAATCTTATTGAGTGTTGGTGATAACTTATGAGAAATCCAGACTTATGTATAAAAACATTCTTCGTTTGACCAATTCTATAAATACGATCACAGGCTTGTTGCTCGAGGGCAGGGTTCCAGTGCAAATCAACGAGAAACAGATGATTACCACCGACTAAATTCAACCCCACTCCGCCGGCTGTCAATGACAACAGCATAACACGAGGTCCGCTATCCACCATATTAAAGCTATTAGCTCTATTTTGCCTGAAACACTTCTAATTGTCTTTTAAATATATGCGATAGAGAAGAAGTTTGATGCAAGAGTATATAATGAGATATTGAGGAAATAAAAAACAAGACCATAATGATATGCAAAATTTTTAAAACACACTAAAAAATGCTATAAATTGATGAAGCATCTATTCTTGATATAAAAATTGTACCACAGTTTCTTTTTCCATATTATTAGAAAATGAAACTTAAAGAAAGAAGGAAATAAGAGAACAACGATACGAATGACCTGTCACTACTCGAAACTTTCCCATTAATAGATGTATACAAAATTTTTTTCCGTTCCAAATGATACTCCAGAATGTTCAAAAGACTGGTCCATTGACTTACAATAACACTGAAAGATATCAAATATCACAGTGGTCATATACAGACGTATAAATTTTTGTTGTAAAGATCTTGTGAGCAATTACTAAAAATTATAACAGACTCCCATATAAGACAATAACAGATTGATTGGAAAGCAGGAACGTAGTTAATCAAACATAGTAGCACTAAATACTCTATAAGTTGTAGGAATAAATTTCGAAAATACCATGTAAATATTACCACTTATCGCCACAAGAAAGAGCATAGTCCACTTGTTCAAATAATTTCCTGATCTGAAAATAAAAAGGTCAAGATTTTAATAAATTTCAGAATTAAAAAGGGGGACTAAAAAAAATACGGGAGAAAAAACACTCAATCTAAAAACTGCTTAATTCAAATTGCAGTCATGGATTACGGCATCGAACGATGTAAACTTTTACGCTATCTGAAACCTGAATGTACATCTGAAGAACTACCTTTGTTGAAATAAAAGTTTTCTGGAACAGCTGTTCCACTTGTTTATTCCCGTCGTCACCCAGTAACTTCTCGCTAAGAGCTTTTTCATCCAAAAGCGATATACTCGAAAAACACTTCGACAACATTCCAGCATTTTCATCCTCTTCAACGCCTAACGTCTGGAGGGCTTCCATATCGACTGCCTAGGAATATTCCGTTAAAATGCGAAAATGATTATTTACTTGTTTCAATATTACAAACAGATTTTTCAAGAAGATCTAAGTGATTAAGCAGTACCTGGTTTATTAATACAAAATGCACACAGGCTTGTCGTAATCGCATTAATAACGTTAGTACACAATTCATTGCTTGAAAATTATTGTTGTTTCGAGTCGTTTGTGGATCACCTACAATGAATTCTATACAACTTTCGCAAAACGATCTGTATCATTGTTGCCAGACTCATTCCCTGTGCAAATATTTAATTTAATTTGTTTAAAAAAATGCTGCTTATACACTGTAAATATAACTCTACATCTTTTCCCTTTCATCTCTCAGTTATATCTGTTAATATAATATTTCTAATCTTTAACACATAAAATATAACAACATAATTCAAAAAGATATGGCACTAAGTAGATTAAACTTCATGATTTAGATTTTAGTTTCTTCACAAGATCGTTTATATGGAAGAAACCTGAAAATGGATTCTTCGTTGGTTTATTTCTGCATCCAATACCATACAGATCCCGTTCTTTTTCCTCTCTTGTTTTGATTAGTTCTTTTACTTGTTGCCTTCAATTTTTGGAAAATGAAAAAACCTATGTCATTATGCTGTTTGTTAATGGAAGAAAAAATCCTTCAACCATATATATGTTTATAACTTATTTGAAAAAACATATATTTTTTTACCGCAGCTATCAAATAAATTACGATTAGAATTTGAATAACTTTGCAAAATTATAAGCAGCAATAGTAATATACAAAAAAAAGAAAAACTTCTTTAAATGGACACTGACCTTGAAACCTGAAACATGTAATCATAAACCTTCTTTTCCATGCCTTCAAATTTCATAACAATTTCTTCATACTTTCTTGACTTTAGATCAACCTACAAGAATCAAGCCAATTCAATAAAATAATTTTCGAGTCATATCTTTATATTTCAAATTATTAGCATTGTCTGAGCTCAAGTGATTAACTTTGTCTTTAGAGTATTGTTAAAGAGGTTTAAATATTACAGGTTGTTTGAAATCTTTTTCTACGTAAATTTTTTTTTGTTTTTTTCGCACAGTGTTTCTTGAAAACTGATTTATTTCAAGATAGCTTTAGCCGCTATTCCTAACTCATGATCACCAAGCACCTTTGGTCATGATACCCAGCATATACTGCTACGTACACAATCCACTTTCAAAGTCTCTAGACAAAAGAATTAATATACTATCACTTTTTCCTTTAAAATTCTAACTTTCTCCATAACACATATGCAATTCTAATCTCCTCTACTTAATATATTTAATTTCTGCAGTACAAAAAAATAATTATTATTAAGAAAAATACAATCGGTTTATTTGTTTCCGTACACAACTGATTCTTTTCTCGTCTGAGTAATAAGCCTTTTACCAGGGTATTTAATCTTTGTGACGAATCTAGAAATAAATTTTTGAAACATAAGCTAAGATAGTAAAAAACAAAAAATATACAAATGAAAAAAAATAAGAAAGAATCGGAAAAAATCAACATACGTGCTGATAGAATATATTCTTTCCAAACAGCTTCCTCATCGAAGGGCACCACACGCAGAAATCTAAAGCGATTTTTAAAATTAAACTAGAGCATTATCTTGAATTATAAGTAAGGACAGGAAATCATCATAAAAGCATTCAATCCGGAAGTAAAATAAATGGAAATATGTGAAAAACATTTGAACCTGATCAGGGAATATAAATCCCATAAGTTATTGTGAATTGGTGTGCCTGTAAGGCACCAACGAGCTACAGCAGGAATTTTACAGCACGCTTTAGAAATTAATGATGTCCTATTTTTGATTTGATGCGCTTCATCCAAAATAACACGCTCCCAGGCTATCTTCGTGAGCACGGAGCCCAGTTTTCTTGAAATCTGAAATGAACATCATGATTCATCCTTATTTAAATTCTGTTCTTTGAAACGACTAGGAAATAAATTCATTTCAGCATCCTAAAAATCTACATACTCAATAATACAAATGCCAGAAAGTTCTAAAGAAAAGACTAACCTTTCGTTTTGTTTTTCCTTTTCCGTTCTTTTCTGCATAGGAAGCACTTGCATCATTACTACTCCTTTCATCTTCGACACCAACTGCAGTGAATTTCTCGCTTAATTCATTGCTCACAATTCCATATGTAGTGACAACGACATCATAGCGTGCAAGGCTGGAAAAAATTTATTTTGAAATCGATTTAATATCAAACTAATATGGATGTGAAAAATTACCATTCAGCACTTATATCGCGCTTGTGTTTAGGTCCATGGAACACATATCGAGAAAGAAAGCCACTTTTTACATGTTTTTGAAATTCTGCTTCCCATTGAAAGATTAATGAAGCTGGAGCGATAATTAATGTGGTTCTGGACGGGATTAAACAACTACCTAAAGATAAAAAATTCGTAATGACAAGGCATTATTTATTCCCAGAACTATTTAGATTACAGGAATATAAATAAGGATTTAATAAAAATGCTGGTAAAAAGTGTTTTGTCTTGAAAATAAGCTATGGAATTCCCTCTCATTTATTTCATTTTCAGAAAGCATCTAAAAATAACTGCCAAAGCGGATGTTAAACCAATAAAACTAAGAATGACTTTTCGTGACTTGTTTGTTTGATCCTTTCACTTCTTCATTCTGCTTACGATTTTCCTTAACGTTTACAATGAGTGAAATCATACTTAACGTCTTGCCCAAACCCATGTCATCAGCTGAAATGAGATGGCGATCTGTTCGGAATTTTTGATATCAATGGTAAATGATATATATAAATTTAATTTTTTTTTTTTATAAAATTTTTATATAAATTTAATAAGCTAAACTGCTAGCAAAATCGTGCTCGAACATATTCAAACAAAATTGTATTTAAAATTGAAATCTAAATTGAAAATGAATTTGTTTACTAAAAGAGAGTCCCTGACATACTAACGGAAACCTAAAACTAAACTCATATACCAAGGATGCCACCAGGTAACGATTGTTTCTCACGCCACAGCAACCAGGTTAGGCCCTCTTTTTGATGAGGCATTAGTTCAGTAAGCAAACTAGTTGGTGTATTCGTTTTCAAATTTTCTGGGACATTTGCAAGTGAACTGAAACAATTTAAATAAGTAAAAACAAATGAAAAAATGAGGCATATGTACAACACTGACATTTCAGCCAAATGAATCTAAATATTTAATGAACCTAAATTTCACAGAATATAACTATTAGTTTTGTAAAAAATCCTAAATTTACCTGTGCATTTGAGCAATAACTTGTCCAGTAACTGCATTGGCCAGGCAAATTCGATTGTCGGTCATTTTTCCACCAAACAGCCGGTGTCCTATGAAAGAGAAATCAAGAATTAAAAATCAATACTTTCCTTTATAAGGCTGTAGAATTTAGATTTTAAAGAAGGTTTCTATTAATTCACGTCTTTCATTATAATAAATCACCTCCAGTTATAATCTGAGAAGAAATCACTGATGGTTCGTTCTTTTTTTGAACACTACTAGCTTCTTCCCTTTCAATAGGTTCTGCAAAATCACATATGTTTTACTAGAAAAAAATTCAAAAATATAAAATACTGCTTCCTGATCTCCTCTCAAAATCATCTATTTATTCTGGAGAAACAAGATACCATAAACCATGCGTGTCACAGATTGAGCAACATTTTCATTTTCCTCAGCAATGATCCTAGATCTTTACTATACCTGCTTAAAATTATCGAAATCAATCTGCACGCAACAAGAATTTCTTCATTTAAAAAAAAAAAAAAAAAATTTGTAACCGATTACTATTCTATCGCCAAATATTAGCAGTGAGCATAATCTGTATCATTTCAGTGTTTTCGAACTTGCAATGATAACAAAAAGCTTAGCATGTTATTTTTAAATTTTGTAATTTAGATCAATATTGTTAGAATAATCCAGACACAAACCATTTGGAGAGACATTTGCATTCCTTCCAAATGCATCCCGATTAATTAATTCCTCTTCCAACATTTCAATTTTTTCTAGCAATCGCCGCCCACAGTCTGGTAATTTCGACAAATTCGCACTTTGTTTAAGGTTCTAAAGCCAGATATTTACAATGATATATGTGTAATCTGAAAAACAAATCACTTCAATTACCTTCAAATTTTGCAATTGCGTTTCCAATTCCAATCTCGATAAGGTCTCTGGAATCTGAAAACAAAAGGTATGTTTCTTCTCTTTTTTTATGAGATGACCTCGGTTCTCAAAATAATCTCTCAGTTTATTAAGATGTAACCAGTCTCACATCAGCCAATGTTTATCATCAAAAAGAATATTTTTTAACTTCTAATATTAAGGATTGAATTCCGTTATAACAAAGCAAACAATTTTGAATTTGTGAAAATTGCTTTACCAAACAACGAAAGTGTAGTTGCTAATATATTAATAATATAAGCTAACTTTCTGCGTAGGTTCCAATGTTGAAGTGTAATGTGGTGGAGAATCAGAAACATCATGAATCGATGTTGCGACAAGTTTATTTGTGGTAACCTGGAAAGAAACTAATACTCTTCTACAAAATGATTAACTAAATTTAACTTTCTGTACACTCATGTTTTACAGGAAATATCGCTGCAGTGATGCCTCTTTCTTAAATTAATAATATCTTTGTTATAATAATAGACTGATGTTCGATCAAAGTTGGAACGAACAGGAAATGGAGTCATAAGGTTGCTGAGTAACGCAAATTCAAGACACAGATCTTCTCGGAGGATCAGTTTAAACAAATTCAAAATCAACAGATCTTTTTCATCCATCGTATTACTGCAGGAAAAGATATAAGTTACCTATTACCAAGTGAACAATTCATCAGTATTATCTCACAATTCTATTTAAGCTAAAAAAATTTGCAAAATATTTCGAAAATGTTAAAAAAATTGAACTTACCAGAACACTTCTTTCAATGTCATCCAATATTTCAATTGACGAATCTGTGGTACTGATGTGAATAGAATCTTCACTCGAGCTATTTGCTGCAGTTATATCTTCAATTTCATTTGATGATTTCTTCAACGTAGATATGTTTTCCTTTTCGACCAGCAATGACGAGCAATTATTATCACTAACAACTTCGGTTTCTATTGAAGCGGTATATTCAGCACTAAAAAAGATGAAATAATTCATGCAGATTGCTTATCCTTATTGCAACTAATCTGTATGAATTCGAATTCTCTTTACAGACATCATATTCAGTGTAAAGATAACCGCATTCAGAAACATATTACCTTATTCGAAGATATTTCCCGCATTTTTCAACCGCATTCTGTAAATCCAAAATATTTGTTAAATATACCTGGTTAACACGTTCGACGGAAAGATTTTTTGCACTCCTTTTATTTTAGAATCATCGCCTGTGCTAAATATATCACTTGAGTTGCAGTTATTCGTCTATAATATTCAAATTTGATTTCATTCATTGATTTACTTAACTAAAAAAGATTTTCAAGAAAGGATAATAGATTAGAGAAAATGTAGCACGGAATTTATTTCTTAAAAGAAAGTTGAATTCTAATAATGAAACTGCTTTCTTTGTCAGCGTTACTGTTTAATTTCGAGCAGTAATATGTATACTATTTTCTAGATTTTCAGGAAGCAACTAAACAATACACCATTTGTTCTGCAAAATTCATCTGTTAGTTCTCTTTATCTGATCCAATAATGATGAAGAATTGGAAGTACAATTTATCCTCAAATATCTGCTTTTGAATCTCATGAAGAAACATCATAAGTAATAGTCTGCCTACTTTTTTATCTTCCTTCAACAATTCTGCTTCATTATTTGCCGAGTTTCGTTTGCTGATATTCATATTACTAGTGCCCTCCGCTGTGCTCACTTGCATTGGACTAGCAGGCTCTTTATCATCAGTTAAAGGACTCTTCATTTCCGAGTTATTTACAATCTGACCAGTATCACCCCATATAATTTTTCGCTTCTGTAAAGATAATAGATAATGTCTGCACATATTGCTGTTTCTAGAGAAGATATAGAGTTGAAAATTCTGAAAAGAATGATGCGGCATCTGATTTAATAGCCACAGATATAATTATTTTCGAAATTATTACTAGAAATTTTGGGATGCAATAGCTTTTCAACACAGATCTGAATAGAAAACAAAAGATGCTAAATAACACCTCATGAAGATTCTTCGCTATAGTAATCTGCCGACCACTTTTTTTCTTTTTTTCGAGTTCTAAAGGTGAAACTGCAATGAAAATTCACCATTACTTCCTCAATTTCCATGCATCTATTGTTTCATTATTATGTAGCATTAACTTCATTTAGGGGCTACTTCTAAACCTATTTTAGTAATTTAACAGTTATATTTGAATTTGATTTACTTGAATATAATTATTAAAATAAATATAAAAAATCAAAGTAATAAATGAAAAATCATATTTCTTCAATTAGTTCGAATGGTAATCTTTGATGTGAAATTAATGAAACATAGTAACAGTGTTCAAAAGGGAACTAACCCACAGCACTACTGAGTATACTGCGACTTCGATCAACTCCTCCAATCAAGTGAAGATCTAAAATTTTTTGTTCTATATAAATTATATAACTATATTTGAAGTTTACAATTGCAAAGCCGAACTATATATTTATTGTAGGATCCAGTAATATGTATTCAGCATTGCAATTGCAAATTTCAAAGTTCAAAGAATCTCTTTCTTCTAATAGAGAAAAGATGTCAAATATACCACACCACTTACTTTTTTCATTACTGGTGGAAATGCTGTTTGTTGAAGATAACTTTGGTTCCTTTTCATCCGAAAATAATGCAATATTCTGGAAAACATTAGTAAAAGTGACCTAATGTGGTCAATTTAAGAAAATTTTACCCTTCACTTCCATTTGCATTTACTGCTAATACCGTAAAACTTTGAAAGAAACACCTCAACTGTTTCTTTCATCCCTATTCGTGATATCAAATCTAGTGATGATAAGAAACATCCTTTGCAAATTATAAACTGATAAATTACTGTCAACCTTTTCTTACATCCAATTACATTTTCCGTACTTTTTCCAATCTTATTCTTACATTAGATTGCCTTGTTCCAGTGAAATTTCAGCATTTTAAAGGATACGAATAGTTTTTAAGTCTTTTTGCGAATGTTTTTGTCTATTTCCTTCTCTCTTTTTCTCCCTCTTCCCATCCATTTCTTTTATTCTTCCACCCATTTTATGAACTGGTGACTTTATGAATCTCAACCTGTCTTAAACAGAGGAACAATAAAAAAAACTTTCCCTTTACCAGCTGAAAAATTCCATTACTGTTCCAGCTAGAGAATACGCTTGTTTCTATTTTGTTTTGCAGCTGATATAGTATTATTGATACGCTTACATCCAAATAGAAAATTGAATTAAATTCAGAAAAGACATGCTTCATGAATATGCGATAATTTGTCGAAACAATTTGACTGAAATATGTGATCCCGTCGTTCGGCAGCAAATACACGAGGGGTTGAAGTGATAGGTCCTGGCTCTCTCTGCTTTATCTTTCCGATTGGTGATATCAGATCCAGCGATGGTAACAAGCAGCCACTAGCAGAAGGAAAATTTTCATTCTTTACTTGTTGTTCGACTTTTTTCACTAACATGTCATCATTCGATGACATCTAAAATTCAAAAAAAAGTTGGTGCATAGCTGATGAAAAAGATATGTAGAACATTTCCCAATGCTGATAGATTTTTTATTCACAGTAACCCGTTTGACAACATAAGAAGTTAGACACAAATGATACGTACTGCGAGATATAACTTGACCTACGACACTATTATATTCTGTCTCTCATGAAAATACACTGAAGGCAAGCAAACATCAGTGTTAAATAAAATTCACTGAATCAAAAACAAACAAAACGGCTGGAATAAAAGGCAAACAAAATGACATTATAAAAAATTAAGTATGCAAATGAATGATAAGCAATAAGTACGGGCACATTAGATATGTAAACCTGCATATATGAGGAATAATTTGAAAAGTAGTAATCACATTCGTACGTGGTACCTCTAACTGATGTACTACCGCGTAACCGCGAAATACCGAACTACGACAGGGAGAATATCTTTATTAGGTGATGCATTGGCATGTTGGTACGCTGTAGGGTGGTTCTTTGTCACCACTGCTCGACTTATCAGGTTACATTGAGGCAGGAATTGACGTCTCTGCGTGAGGTTAAATAAACGTACACGCTACACGTGGACAGATTAGCGAACATAGCAGTAGCTTAGATAGTATAATCTGAAGAACTTTAAGCAATTCAAGCATACAGCTTAGCTAGCTAGCAGCAAAATTTAAAAATTGAAATTCAGCTAGACAAAAGCAACGAAGAAGTAATTGCCTTTTTGTATGTCTAAAAAAAAAAAAGAAAGAAAATTGCATGGGTATATATCAACTTACAGATCAAAACAACTTGATTTACAACTTTTTCAGTAATTCAGAATCATATGTGTACTTTTCTATTTCCTGTTGTTCATATTCTTTCAGCTAAATAGCTTTTAGGAATAGGCTGACTAGCAAATGTTTGCTTAACCGAATTTCTTCATATAAACAAAGATATAAGTTTTGACATGCAAACATTTCTTTCACTATATATTTTAAAATTACAAAATAGAAATGTTTTCAGATTTTTAACATTTCTAGAGATAAGATCAGCATTTCTTTCTCTAACAAATCCATGAATAAGAAATTGAAAGAAAAAAAGTTGAGCCTTCTTTATCAATGACACTACCATAACAGTTGCAGTTATATATTTCACTAATGGAATCTACCTGAGCAACTTAGTTCCATCTGAAACATTCCATTATCGATCATATTTTTCATTATCAGTCATATTTTTCCTGTCTTATCGAACAGCACCAAATATCTTAAAACATTTGGAACCCTTTACACCAATTTTAATCTCGGATTATTCTTTCCACAATGACTCTACCAGAGAAAGGGCAATATGCATTAAGTATGACGCAGTTTGCGGTAAGGATTCTCGAGAATTTACTCAGTTATGTTTATTGACTAGCATTCATTGCGATTATGCTAGTAATTCCGTTTATGATTATGCTAATAATTTTAAGCATCAGGAAACGTGGTACTTACGGAACACGTTGTTTATCTTTATAATAGCTCGCACCTGTTTTCATTTGAATGCAGATTATTCAATTATTCGATCTAAGTATCATTAGTAACTGAATAATTCAGATGCGATTTTTTTTTTTCCATCGTTAGTGATACATAGTTTGCGCTGATTACTGTTATTGTCATTTGTTTTAAATTGCATTTGTAAAAACGCATCTTGTTTTTAGATCTCGAATAGACGAAATGTCGGAAGATACTTCCGGACACACGATGGATGGTGGTAACAGCAAGGTCTGAGTTTCTTCATTAGGCTTGCATGTTTATATTTCTCTAGGTTTCTTAGTTATGTATTATAAATCTGTTTCTCTTTGGATTTGGAACCCATTAATTGAATAATGTTATTTGAAGTTCCCAGAAGTGAGTTTTGAAATTATCTTTTGTTATTTAAATGTGGAGGGTTTGCCTTATTTTGTATATTTTAATCTAGGAATTCATTATTGTTTATTATGTATGCACTTAAAGGTATTTTTCAAGAATGTTTTTGCAGAAGACTGTATTTGGTGTGATTTTTTTGAAACTAGTTTAAGAATATTTCCTGTTCTCCTTACTACGTTGAGAAATTTTCCTGTTTTCTTTAGAATTTGAAAGTTTGTAAATCAGTTGTCGTAGTTCTTCTCCGTCCCTCATTCTTATTCATTTAAAGGAAAACCTCATCCTCCTTGCGAAAGAATACATAACAAGGAAGAAGCTAACTAGAAAACAGTAGTTGCTAACTTTATCTGTTCCTTATTCAAATCTTTATAGGAGCGTCTGTTTGTACTACACTTTTGTAAAATAAGCATTCCAGATGATACGTCGACTAGTGTCCACTCGTTTGGAAGATATTCGAGATGGTTTTGAAGAAGAACTTCAAGAAACGAAACCGATGAAAAAACCAGTTCAAAATAGTGGAAAGCTGACTGACAGTGAGGATGAATACGAAGTTCCCGCTAAAATAGTTAGCTTTAGGAAAATTCCAATTTGTTGATTTCTGTAAAAAAGTAAATTAGAGATTTTTCATAAACAGTTTTTTTTTTCGGCACGTTATCTTAAAACCTCATACATTCTTGTCATTTCTTTAAAGCAAGAATTCGTTTATTCCTCCAACTTATATATATTTTATGCTTTTAAGAGTTATTTATTGGCCTAAATTGCTACAGCAGTGATTTCTTCATAACAGCACGGAAGGAATGAGATTTTATCAAAAAGTAGTGTGTTGCAAACTACTTTTAGACCAGTACCTTCCAATTTGTTCAACTCTGAAAATCTTAATTCTTGATTATCACTATTTCCATAGACTTCGTACCTGAAATGACAGTTCTTCTCTGATGTTTCGCTCCTTTTATTCGGGTTAGAAAAATATATCTCATCGGTGCTTCCTTTGTTTAAAATGTAATTTAGCCAAAGCAAACTTATGAAAACAGAGGAGCAGCACTGTTAGCTAAAATGGGATATGATGGTGGTGGACTTGGTAAGAGCGGCCAAGGACGCACAGAACTGATACCATTCTCTACGCAGCGAGGTCGCGAAGGTTTCGGACAGCCTGCGAATCAGGTGATCAAGAATTGATTTTCTTCCTACATCCACAATATAATACCTTATTTTTGGTATAAAAAATTTGTAGTAAATGTTTGAATCAAAAAAACCTGACTTATTACTGCTTAAAATTGTTCGGTTCTCACTTTAATCTAAAATAAATAATTGCCCATTCATTTTTAGAAAATTGCTCGAGATTGGAATGTAGTTTGGGATTTTGCGGAAGAAGAAAAACCTGTGGAAGAAAATGTATTGTGGTTATCTGCTCCTAATGATATTCGAGAAAAGTTCACAAAAGATTTGCAAGATCAAGACGACTGGATTATTATTGGAAACGTAAGTCTACTTTTTATAAAGTGAATGAAAGATGGAAATAAGTCAGTTAGAAAGAATTTACAGTTTTAAGTCTTTTTGAATTTCATAAAATTTTATGTCATATATTCTAGCGAAAAGAGACATTGGATGGCGAATACAAATATTGTGACAGCAATTTGATGAAAAAAATGTTGGATGCAAAATCTGTTTTTGATGAACTTGATATTAGAGACTTAAAAGAGGCCCGTATCCGAGCAAACCCATATGAGACAATCGGTTCTGCTTTCTTCCAAAATCGGTAAATCATTTAATTGCAAAAGTTGTTAACACAGGATATCGTCCTTTCATTTTGCAATAAATAAATAGTACCGTAAATATTGCAACATTCTATATTAAGTCTTGTTATGCGAATAGCAGTGCTTTTCATTCTCTGACTTCTCTGTTTTTTTTTTTTTTTTTTTTGGTGAACCCTGATTGACGTTAAATTTTTTTTTCCAAGTTCTCTTCTTTTTTGCGTGTGAAGAAGTCTGTCTCAATCTTTTTGATACAATTAAAATCATCTAGAAGGATTTATATAAATCATCTGTCATATTTCAAAATTGTTGAATTCTTTTTAGAAAATATATTTTTTTAAGGGCAGCGATGAAAATGGCAAATTTAGATCGTATTTATGACTGGTTATTAACGGGTGAAAAACCAGATAATGTTGAAATCAAAAATCCTATGAATGTGGAAATAAAAAATGAGAAATGTCGAGTAGCAACTCCAGGAAAGAATGCTGGTCGATTATCGCCTTTGTTTTATTTTGCTGACATATGCGCTGGTCCTGGTGGATTCACAGAATATGTGTTATGGAGAAAGGGTTACTATAACGCAAGAGGTTTTGGAATGACGTTAAAAGTTGAGAATTTTTTGAATTTTTTTCAAAATATTTTATATTTCTAGTCTAAAATGTGTTAGGCAACTGCTATCATAATGCTTAGTCGCAAATGATGGGAAATGTATGGCGAATCGGAAAAAAATAAATGTTGCTGGAATTCTTTGATAGATTTTAAAGAAATCAGAATGGGAGAAATAAATTATTTTTATTCATTAAATATGGAAAAGATAATGGAGATTGTTTCGTAGAATAATTTTTCGCTTTACAGGAAAAGATGATTTCAAATTGAAACGTTTCACAGCCGCTTCACCTTCCTATTTCGAGCCTTATTATGGTAAACACAACGATGGTGATATCACCAAGCCAGACAATATCACCTCTTTTGAAGATGTCAGTTCATATTTGGTCATGTAAGGAAGAAAAATTATGAATATTGGTGATAGTTTCGGTAGTTCATATCATTTTGCAGAATCTGACGTCATTTTTTGGTTTGAAATCATTGGTTTAGTTTCGAGTAACTTAGTTTAAAATTTAGTTTACTTTGAAATTACTCAGATTGTAAAACGCGGTACCAATAATGTTGGTGTGGATTTAGTTATGGCTGACGGTGGCTTTTGTGTCGATCAACAAGAAAATATTCAGGCAAAATTTTTTAATCTTTAAATCTTAATAATTCCGCGACAAACTGCAACTGCAAGTTGTTAGTTGTACTCCTTGGATTTGTTGTAAGTATATTTTTATGAAATTTCTTGTAATTTAACTTGAGGATTTTT